CATAAATGAATACTCTTATTCCAAAAACACAAGCAGATTGAATTCCGGCCCATATTATACAGATAATAATAAATAAGAATCCAGATCTCTTTTTGTTTCGAATAAAAATGGAATTATCATAATACAAGCATTGAATAAAACATATTAAACTTAGTAGGCCAAATATCAACGGTTGAACCATTAGAATGATCGAAAGTTCAGCTACTATCGCGTAGGTTCCATAAAACAAGCAACCTACAGTCTGTTTTTTTTCAACAAGAATAATTTGGGATCAATTTAAAGCGTAAATTATATGTAAGTGGTGTAAATTGAGTAAATTGAAGAAATGTAACCAACCCAAAATAACAGCATGATAGGTGAAAGACCTTTTCATAGAAAAAGGTAAGTGAATGCTATGTAATGACGCGTTATTTCCCAAAAGATAAACATTTTCAATGTAATTATCCAAATCCCATTCACAAGAATAAATACCCATGAAAATTCATTAATTAATTCATTAATTTATTAATTCATTAATTCATTAGTTTTTAATGAATTCATACTTTGAATTAATTAATTTCGTAATGTAGAATTTATTTAGGCAATGCGAGTGGGAAATTTGGATTATATGCATACATAACGGTAATAACGATGCATTTTGATAACGATGATAACAACAATAACGATATGTAACAATAAATAATGATGACCATATATAGTCTATCCATAATAATTAAAATACAGTAACCAAGTTGAAATCCTAAAATGGATACCGTACGACATAACATACCTTTCGTTGATTGATTACGCCAACTTTTGTGCACTTTATAAAAAAAACATTATGCCATTACAAAAGTTATTATATTGCACGAAAAATTGAACAAAAAAGACTTTGTTTGAACAGATATTTACCCTGAGGAAGCAACTGAAATGACCATAAAATAGTTCCAATAGTGCCGAATAAGTATTCCAAAATATAAAATAAATTTTGATGATCATTATAGTTCATAATTTTTTTATTATTTTTTATTATTTTAGAAAATAAAATATATTGATATCAAAATTCTGAAACTTATTTGGTACCGTACATACTGTATGAAAAAAATTCTATCTAATTTAAAGGATATGAAAAACAAAGGATTTTCAACTCATTATTATAGTTTCACCAAACTCATAATAATTTGGTTGTACAACATTGAAATTCTATGTTAATCTACGTAATCGATTGAAAATAAATTAAAGAAAATGGCACGCTATTTATATGGTACGCGAACACAAGATCAATTTGATATATAAAACTAAAACCTATGTGTAAAGATAAATATTCATACGTAACACGTAATACATACATATATCATGGTATATATACAGTATATCATCTCTGAATTCTAGTACGTGTAATAGAGCGAGACATTTCACTTAAAAGGTCAATTATTTTATTAAAGTGAACCTACACAGATTACAAAATTTTTTATAGACAAATTTTTTATTACATTGTGTAAAATTGTGTAAAAATTAAGATTTTTTTTTTTAAAAAAAGAAATTTAATTCATTAATACTATTATAAAATTGGACAAGGATCGAGCACTACGTAATGACGTTATTAATACTCATTTAAAGAAAGTTCGATCTTTTTTTTTTCTTTTGGTTCAAGAACTTCTTTAAAAGGTATTTCGTCATTTGGAATATATGTAACGTTTTTATCACATGTAAAAAGAATAAATGAGAACTGGACTAGGATTGTCGATTACAGGATTATCAAATGATAAACTTCAACTATATTGATTAGTCGGACATTTCCCAAACAAGTTCTCAATCTTTTCAAAGAATGTGTAATAATTCATTGTTATTTTTTCAAAAAAGGTTTTTTTTTGTTTTTTTTTCGAACTATGTTAAACTATCATTACGCATAAATTTTACTATTATAAACCAATGAACGATGATAGGGTAAACCAAAAATTAGTGATTCTGGCCGAGCATAATTTTTCGGCTGAGACTAAGCCAATAAATTTTATCGGCTTAGTCGGCTTGGTCGAACCTGCAGTACTATTTAATTTTGTTCTTTAATCTGGAATTTTTCGGAATTTACAAAAGTTTTGGTTCTATATCGGAAATTTTCGTAATGACATATCTTGACTGTACGTTGGAATAGAATTATTGTGGATTTAGAATCCACTTAGGTTAATTCCGAATAAACATAGGTTGCAATAGAATTCCAAAATGTGACCGGGTTGCTAAAGAATTCGAATTCAACTTATAATAAAATTAAGTGGATTCTAAATTATTTTATCTATGTTGTTTTGGAATTCAAGTAGCTTTAGAATAATATTTATTCGTAACAATAACCCATCAGCTAGCAAATTAATTCAATTTATTAAAAGCATTACATATCAGTGTTTTTACAATTATTATTACTAGGATGACAACTACTACCGCATGGTACTTTCATTTTTTTACATTTACAATGATTTTTGTCACACAAATTTTTGCAATTTTATTTAATATTGCCTATTTGTGAAGAAGATTGCATAAATGATGCCTCTCGGACACCTATGAGTGTTGAGGGAATATTATCCAATTCAGGAAACTTGTCAGGACCCAAAGAAAGAAGTTTATTAACATTATATATAACTTTAATAATGTCCAATTTACATCCAAGTTTATATATATCATTTTTTGATACTTCAAGAATTTTGCATGGGAGTGTTTTTCAATCAGTATGTACCCTATCAATTTCAGGAAGGATGTTCTATAGAATAGGTGGGAAAATCCCACAAACTCCACAACTCTGTTAAATATCTATTAATGATTATTAATCATTAGTGGAGTTTATTTTATATTGTCTACCTATTCTATAGAACATCCTTTAGGAATCCTAAGGTTCACTAAATCACCAACCTTGTATTTGTTGTTAAATTTTTTGTTATGTTTGTTAAGTTGTGATTTCATGTTAGTGTGATATCATTCAAGAGACATTGTAGCAACACTTCAATAAATTTCATGAGCTGATGTTTTTTAAATGTTGTTTCTATGTTTAGATTTAGGTTTAGAACTATGTTTATCTAAAAAAGACTGTAAAATAAAAATAAATTTAACTTATACTATATATGAAATTAAATAACATGCAATTATTTGAGTATTGGTGCCCATAGTGGTAGCCATCAATACAGAAGGCTTATGTCTTTTATTTAGACAAATATCAGAAACATTTCAAGTAACCTTCTACTAGCAGTTCTATCTTCAAGTAAACTTCTATAAACAACTTCATCTTCAGATAAGCTTTTATTAGTAACTTCATCTTCTGATAATTTGTTTAAAATGTTTTCTTCATCAGATATCTATTTTATAGAATTTTATTAATTATTAAAAAAAATTTTTTTTAAAGCAATATTATTAAATACTAATGTTTATTATAGCATTTTCTTGTTCATTTATCCTTATGCTTAATTTTTTATTTGATTGTTTATTTATTCTTTTATTTAACTGCTCATCTAATCTTTTATTTATCATGTTATTCAATACTTCATCATCCACTATTTTGTCCAATCTTTCATTTATTATGTCATCTAATATTTCATTATTAGCTAATTCATCCAATCTTTCATTCTTCAATTTAAGTTCAAGTAATTGCTATTCCTAAAAGAATTAAATAAACAATATTATTTGTACTAAAAAAACAAAAATAAAAAAAAACAAGACATTTATTTCTATGTTTAATACTGCAGTTCCTAAAACGATTCTACAGCTTTTTGCTAATCAAAATTGTCTTGAGGCTTAGATAGTTCGAACCAATTCTTAGATAGCTCATCTTCTGAATTAATATATCGATCCTTGATTTTTTTTAATATTGCAAAATAGCATAAAGAGTCTTGTCAAATACTAATACATATGGATTACTTTTAGTTTGTATTGATATTTGAATATTTATTGTATCTATTAAAAATATTAATTAATTAAATTAAAAGTATAAATAACAATGAAAAAAAAACTCACAGTAGTATAAAGGTACTGCTTGAAACTAGTCTTTTGTTTTGGTGTCTTTTATACACTTGGATACTTTTTGCTAAAGAATATTATTTGCATATTTCACAAGCCCCAGGCTTTGTAGATGCCTTAAATGGCTATTAATAATATAGACATTAGACCAAATAGTTAATAATTCCTGGATTATTGCTGCTGTAAACTTGCAACCATTATCACTTTGGAGAATAATTAGAGCACTATAGCTTACAAAAATGTCAAAAAGAAAGATAGCAATCTCAATTGGTTACTTGCTTGTTAATTCCCAGTTCTAAGAATACTATAATTGTGTATGTAACAGATATAATGATAATCACCATTAGAAATACTAGTTATAGAAATCAAGTCAACCTGAATCCTATTGAGAAAAGCACTAAAAATTATTGGCTTTGCAGCCAATGGGTTAGGAAAATTTCTTTGTATTGCACATGTATAATTTTTTACAAATTCTTTAACAAAAGATTGTGAAATATAGCAATATTTTTCAGAAACCTGTATTAAAATAATAATAATAATAATAAATAAATAAATTAATTAATTAATATAAATTAATATTCCAGAGGTATGGTGATTTAGTGTAGTGGTCTAGTCGTCACCCTCTCCAAGTAGCAGGTCTGGAGTTCAAATCCCATGGACGACAGATTTTGAAAATTAGGCTTGTGTTATGGTTAACGGTTATGATTATCAGTTGGATCTTAGATAAATCTGTAACTTCGGTCACACTATCTAGTAATGGGAGCAATGACACAATAAAGCCAAGGAACTGGAATAACCAAAAACCCATTTGGGAAGTTCCAAGCTAAGGAATAGCAATGATCTACAATGGTACTACATGAGAGCTGAATTCGAACTGGGGCCTGAGATCGGAGAACCAAACGACCAGGTCCTAATGGCAGAGAACACACTAGCTAAACTGCCAAGTTCTGTCGCACCGGAGGAAAAGAGCATACGCTCCGAAAGTATGCACCAAGGGGAGGGCATCCTTTAGACACCTAAAGCCTGGGCAGACCAACCCTTCTGGGTTGCCAGCTGGAAGTAAGAGATGGACCAATAAAGAATCCAGATAAGAAGACAGTACCAAATGTAAGTATCAGAATTGTTATGAACCTTAATAAGGGCAAGAAGTAGATAATACAAGGGGTTCAATGGTTAGCCCTGACCCCGAATACATAGGTCAAGCTGTGGTGTAAAATTACTGAAGTCTGGGTGAGGCACATGAGTGGGACAAGTGCCCCAGCAAAAAGGCAAGCACGGCCTTCCGTTAATCTGGAGGAAAACCCCCTAGCAAGTTAGGGGCCGAAGGGGGGTAAATCAGTGGCTAGATAGTTATACATGAGCATCTCTGAGTAGCCATGTAATGCTTTACACAAGAATGAGAGGTGCAGTGGTTTGGGAACTGCAACACTGCAGGGGGAGAGACCCAGGATATATATAGAAATATATATAGACTAGATGCTGTACTACCATGTAATGTACTTAACTATTCAGACATAATAAAGTAGTTACCGTTGAAACCAAAAAAAAAATATAAATTAATATTCCATTTATAACTTTATTAATTAATTTGCAGATTATATACCACTTTTCAAAGTTTTGTTAAACCAACATATTTCAAGACCTCTTGATATAATCTATACAATATTTTGTATATCTTGTCAACAGAATACACAGGTAGGTTTGAATCAATTTTTATAAGTTGCAATATAGGGTTAGTTGTCATTCCAAGATCATGTAAAGCAAATATTTTTTTGGCTTAATAACGTTTTTCGTATTTTCAATTTTGGTATTTGCAGATTCTTGTAAAACTCTAATACAAAGATTGAAATTCTTATATATAATAAATGGTTTATGTTATCTATTAACCAATTTACTGTCAAGAAATTTTTCAAGCAACTCTCTAAATACATTGTAAGATAAAAATAGATAATCATGAGATTTAGCCATCAAAGAGTAAGAATTTTAAAATAAAAAAATTTTCAAATATATATAGAAATTTTGCATAATTTTTTCTTTATTATATATAATATTAACAATCATAAACTATTATACATTGGGAAAATAAATATAGTACAGATTTGCAAAAATCTGTGATCCTGGAAATAGTGTTGGCACTGGATATATGTCTAACTATTTTTTATATTATTGGACTAGACTGGACTTTGGATATAATACTTGGACATATATCCAGTTCAATATGTCCAATAATTCTAAAAAATATAAAAAAAATTTTGATAAAAATGTGGCCTAATAAAAAGATTCCCTTAAGCGATTTTACTATATATTTTACTAATTTCTGGCTCTAATATAAATGCTAACCTTAACTTTAACGAACTTTATATAAATTTTAGATTTATCATATGATTATGACTTTCTCGATATAACACTATAAAGATTTTTAATTGGCTATTTGTCACATAATTTATATATTACACAATGTCCAATACCTTTTGGTCCAATGGATTGGACTAGACTGGACATGAACTGGACATTGGACATGTCAAATATCCAACCCAACACTGCCTGGAAATTTTTAACAAATTTCATGATATCTTATAAACTATCAATCAGAATTTAACGTAATAGGTACTATTTGAACTATTTTGATAAAACGGATTGAATAGTACTAAAATTTTTAATTTTTGATCACTGGAACATGAAATAATTGAATTTAAATAAATTTTGCAGCCATTTCATGATCTTGTTACCTAGTAGTCCAAATTTAATGATTTTGGTACCATTCGATTTCTCTCAATGAAATGGTTCGAATAGTACTAAAAATATTAAAATCAGATTACTAATTTATGAGATATTCATACAATATATTTCATGGCACAGTTCTGCGCAAATCTGCAAATTTTCTCTACAGAACTGCACCACAAAATTATTTTGCAAATATCTTATGAGTAGTGTTCAAAGATAAGCTGGCTTATCATGGCTTGCTGCGACTTAATGCGGCTTATCATGTGATAAATTCAAATTTATTACCAAGCCATGCGATATCTTCGAATTTATCACGTGATATTTTCGCGATTATCACATGGCTTGGTGATAAATTCGAATTTATCACGTGATAAGCCGCATTAAGCCGCAGCAAGCCGTGATAAGCCGGCTTGTCTTTGAACACTACTTATGAACCAGTAATCCAATTTTAACAATTTTAGTACTATTTGAACCATCTTATTAAGAGAAATCAAATGGTATTAAAATTATTAAATTTGAACTACTGGGTAACAAGATTGTAAAATAGCTGCAAAATTTATTTAAATTCAATTAACTCATGTCCCAGTGATCAAAAATTAAAGATTTTAGTACTATTCGATCCATCTTATCAAGACGGTTTGAATAGTATCTATTATATTAAGTTCTAATTGATAGTTTATGAGATATCATGAAATTTGTTAAAAAGGTTCAGAGTTACAGATCTTTGCAGATCTGCATCATATTTATTTTCTTGATATAATCTATTGCGTGTAATATTATTATTAATCAGTTACATATTTATTACATATCGATGAGTTTAGAATCAATTTAGATGGAATCTAAATTTCATATCAACTTAGGCTACATTTGGAATTCTATTCCAATCTAAGTGGATTTTAAATCCACAATAATTCTATTTCAATGTACGATATATATACCAAACTGATTAGCCAATTTTAAAAAAAATCAACCAACTAAGCCAATAATTTTTTTAGCTGATTTTTTTCACTTTTAGCCAAAATCACTACCAAAAATATAATTACATAATCAGAATAATTTAGCAAACAATAGAATTTAAACCTATTTATTATTGTTTGGGTTCATATAACAACTGTCACTTTTTTTGTTTAATTATTTAGACATTTTACTATCAAAATCATATGATTTTAATAGTAAAATACCTAAATTAGTACAGTAAATTTTGCAATTTTTTTTTTTTTTTTTAATTCTTTGATAGTCTTGTTGGTGCTCAAATACAAATTATATTACTACTAGACTAAAAACAATGTTTAAAGATTTCTAATAATATCTAATTAACAATTGTAAGCCTGGCATCACTCGGCTACATCATGTGCACCCAGATACGACTTGTCACACCAACCCACAAGTGGGTCAGAAGACCTTGTCAGCTCTATCAAGAACTAAACCAAAATGGGGTTGAACTATTCTCAACCCATTCATCAATACCTATCTTGAATAACTTCACAACTTTTGTATCTTTCTCAATATCTATTACTTTACCTACCCACTCGATTTACCAGTATTTCTGCTTCCCCTTACTCTTGACATTGTGATCTTACTAGTACCTTCATTAGCTGGCTTCTTTTGGTTGCTTCTTTTCATTGATATATCAATGCTGTTTTCTTTCTCCCATTCTGCAACTACTTTACACCTAATTCGCCAGATCTCATCAAGAAAGCTGCTTTCAATGATCGCTATATAACTGCCTAGGACCAGGTTTATAGTCTTTCTTGATATCTCTAAATCTAACAGATTCACTACAACATCGTCAGGAATAAGCCCTCTGATATAATCTTTTCTCCACTTGATTCGTTTTTCAACTGTACTACTACCAATTGCTAACTCAAAATCTCTAATAGATATTGATCTTTTATATGCACGATCCAACTTCTTTTATGCAAGTAAGCATGCGACCTTTTCTATGATACCCCAATAATTATCATATTCTGTACACACTACCAGGTGGTCAAAAGTTTCTTTCACATATCTACAACTTACACACGTATTATTTAAATAAACCTCTGGCTTTCTCCTCTTTAACGTCGATAAAACCGGTAAGTTGTCATTTATACACTTAATACGGAATGCTATATTTCTGCTTGCTACTTGTGTCTTGCACTTGATCCCTGTTGCCTTTTTATTCTGGCACCACATGGCTCTCTAGCTATGGTTTGTGTCTATCCTACTCTCATACTGCTTGATAGCATTTGAGCTATGCCATTCTGCACTAGTTTTAAAGCTCATTAGCATCTTGACTAGTTTTTTTGTTATTATCTTAACCGGTATTTCATTAAGATAGGCCGTAACTCTTTTACAATGATTTTTCTCCATGGCCAATAACGAGCACTGAGCTAACTAAGCCCCTTCTTTTGCCAGTTGGTCAGCTTTCTCATTTCATTTCACCTTACTGTGTGCCTTCATCTTCACCAACTAAAGAACCAAAGACTTTGATCTATATATATCTTTAATCTTGACTACTAAACTCGCATTCTGCTTCTTACTTCACCTTCTCATATCAGTAAGCATCATTGGATCTTCTAAGCTTGCAATTGCCGCAGCACTATCTAGCTTAACTATAACTTCACTTCTAGCTGTCAACACTACCATTAACACAGCTACTAACTCTGCCTTTGTTGATGATGGCCATCTACCAAATTTAATCTTTTCCTCCACAAGTACCAACTCTTCCAAAATATCAACCTGTACCCAACCTGCACCCATCCTTCATACTTCCCTACTTTTGATCAAAGACCCATCAGTATAATACACACTACTGTTTACATCTCTACTACAATTACCCTCCAATTTCTGTATTAACAGCGACTCTAGCTCCTGGTCAAAACCCTGTTTTATAACTAAACTCTTTTTATAAAAATCCATCACTACTATACTATTCATCTCACACTCACTTTTTGCTCTAGCCGACATATTATCACCTGATCTAAAACCTTTAATCTCTCTTAGCAACACTGGTACTCTCTTTCCATCACTTATACTAATCTCAGGAATTGCTCCTAGTATCTTTCTTTTCTTAACCCATTGTTGGCATACATCAACCTTATTTGTCTGACTCAATTTACATCTCTTGCAGCTTCTTAGCCTATTTTTACCATTAGTCAATGACTCAGGTAACCAATGATTGATTAACACTTGCGCCTTTCTTTTTTTTCTAACTTGACCTACTATTGAATCTGTATTTTTGTTGTTGATGATTACCTATTCGCAATGTCTCCAATCCTCAGATAATCTCTTTATCTTTGTTTGCATATATATCAAATTCTCTTCTGGAATCTTAAATTCATCTACTACCCTCCTACTTTCCATACATCTAATTAACTTTTCCTCAATCACACTAAACCATTTTGCTTTTTGGCCTTTTAGATACTTTGTTCTCAATGCACGTAGCTGGTTCTATGTTATCATATTCATACCAGTTCTATTGATCAACTGGTTTACATAGAACACATTAAAACTCCTAATACTACTACAGTAGGCACTGTATGTCTCTTCTCCAATCACCTCTGCTATTGTAAAACCTGTACTACAAATTTGCCACTTCTCTGAATTAGCATGAAGTGTCACACCTAATTTATTTGCTTTGACTAAAATTGATCCTGCCAAATTATTTTTCCAGACTTTTCTTAGGTACCGATTTTGTAGTTTCGACCAATTTTTTTTTACTAATCCAGCCAATACATACCCTTTATTCAATTTTATTTGTGTCATCTTTCCTACTCGATCCGACCTATTAAGTCTATTCTGCAAGCACACTAGTTGTTTGGCAAAAAGCTCCTGACTCAAGGACCTACAATGACCCAGTCCTTGGTGTGTTACTATATAATTGCCTGCTGTTACCAGCAACCCTATTTTGTTCTTAATTATTCTTATTACTGGTTGGTATATTCTATCTATGCTTGCTTTGGTTAATTTTGTTGTCTGTAACATATAGGCTAATTTCGGCACTATACACATATTGTTTATATAAATTAGTTGGCTAAT